TCATACTGCGCGCCCACACAGCTGCACTTGCAGGCCGCAATTTATAGGGTGACAGCGCGTTGTGTACACGCTTAGTTGGTTAGTTTGGTTGACTGTGCGCCTTCTGCTGCTGCTTCCTCGCTTGCTTCAGAAAACTTTTAATCACCTGTAACGGTTCATAGGTGATGCAGTTACTCTCAGCGTACGCAATTATGCATCGTTTAACACGCTCTTTCTTTTCTTCCTTCGGCTCGCTGGTGGTGAGTCGACGCAGTTTGCATACTCTTATTCGCGTTCTCTCTTTTCCTCGCTCTCTCGCTCTCTGTAACGTTTTTTTATTACATTATGTTTTCTTGCTATCAACTTCAATTTCTGTCTCTCTCTTAATTTCTTTCGCTTTCTTGTTGGCATTTTTCCGGTTTGTTTATGTTTTCTTTAGCTTTTGCAACCGGCTTTTTAGCTCAGCACGGCGTATACGTAACCAACAAATTTTTACAATCATTGCTCGCTGTGCAACCAAACAGCCGTTGGTTGTTCTTATACGCCACTCATACACACATATGTTTGTGTGTAAAATTAGCACATCGTTTGAGATATTAAATTGTTATATTTTCTATTTATAGGCCGGCCTCCCCCATCTTTTCCTTTCTTTGGGTGTGTGCGTGAGTGTACTGTTTGAGTGACTTTGATATGCTTATCAAATTCGTTTTTAAAACACACACATACACACACTTAGATATATGTATAAAATATATGGCAGTATATAATATATTTATTATTATCTACTACAATAATAATATAATATATTGTATTTATTATTATATACTACAAGTTAAGAGTGTCAGCGCAGAGGATTGTATATTATATATAAATATTATTGGAGTATAAGCTAATGAAGTTGTTAAGCATGTCAAGTGGCAGCACAAATCTATAATTATATAATAATGAGGATTAGTTGTTAATTGTCTTTTGAAATGGTCCGTAAAGAGCCATAGTTTTTTGATTTTCAGGCTTAATTTTCTGCTACAGCAGAGTACTTTAATCAAAGCAAAATTTTTTTGGGCACAAATGTGAAATATTTTTTTTGTTGCATATAAAAAGTAGTACTGAAAGCAAAATTCTAGAATAATAAAATAAAATGTGTTCTAGAGGTCTTTGAAGTCGGTAAAGTTGTGCAACTATTCAATCAGGTAAAACCATATTTAGGGTACGGTTCGAAATAAATTCTGGTAGTATTTGAAAGATAAGTGAGTTATATTGGCAAATAAATTTTTGCTATCACTTTACTGTCAAATTAGTAGCCAACTACTCAATTTAAGGATACAGGTATTAAATTAAAAAAAAACATCCTCTAGTAGACAATTTTTTTTAAGGTTTCATTTCATGAGAATTCTGGAATCAGCAGCTGTGAAATGCTATTTTTTAGCGTCGTTGGAAATCACGAGCAGCTCAAAAATTGTATTCTTAAAATATGTATAAATATATCCTTAAAGATTGATAAAGAGTTTTTATTTGTTTGTTTTTTTAAATAAATTTTTTTAAGGATGCCACACTAGCTGTGCGCATTAATATACGTGGTGTGTTGAGAAAATAATGGAAATCATAAAATTTAAAATTTCGCTGGTTTTGAAGAGTCCAAATATATCCAATAGCATATGTCCGCGAGATACGATAAAGTTTTCAGCTGTACTCATTTGTTAAAGCTCACACTTCGTGGCTTGTTCGTGAATTCTTGGCCAAAATCAATAATGTAGCTCCGTATTACTTTTTTCTATTTCCAAAAATAAAAAGCACCTCACAAGAATGATGAAAGATAGCTAAAGGCTAATCAAAAAACTAATTTGAGTAGTGTTTCGACGATTTGAGAAAGCACTGTATAAGTGCATAATATCGAATGAGGACTATGTTGAAGGTTTTAGTGTAGATGAATGAATAAATATTTTTTTCAAATATGAAACTTCAGCGTTATTTAGCACATCGTATATGGTTATTAGTCGGATATTGTATGTTACATAACCTTTTGTTACTTTTTTCATAACCTGAAGTCATTCTGTGCATTTTTGCTTACCAGAAATATTTAATTACTATTAATTCTGCTCAGAAACGGTAACAAGGATTTTTAGGAAACAATTTTTAATTTACAGTAAACATGTTAATTTGGTTTATGATAAAACTTATGATTATTAGCTACAAAAAGCGTCGCGAAACTCAGTATTCATATTCCGTAATTGAGCGCTAGTTATGTGGAATATAATTAATATTATCAATATATATAATTTTTAGAAAATAGTTGCCACATGTTATATTCATATATGCAATTTATTTAGCTGAATTTGTAAATTGCAGTTTTCAGAAATTTTTAAGTCATACATATGTTGTCGTCTTGTCATAAAGACCCTCTAACGAATTTTAATTTTGTAGTTTTGTTGGCTACTGAGCTATAGCCCTTTAACTTTGTTCTGAATGGTAGCATTTAACATTGTTCAAATGTTGTAATTTCCCAAAAGCAACCTAATGCTTTCGATTCTTTTTTTTTACATAGACGAGCAGACACATGAACGGCCGGGAAGTCATTCCGAGCTCAATTCGTCCCGACATTTCGATCACTTAAGCGTACGTATTAGATGTTTCGCTTATATCTAGATGTTACAAACAACAATTTGTCGAACAAAACTATCTACAATCATTATCTGGATTGACAACGGAGTTACGATAATTACCTCATTAATTATGGAACTTAATAAAAATGCTTCTCGATTATCCACGCACTTGTCATCAAATATGTACAATACTTATATTCCAAACATTGTACAATATTTATGTAAGTGCATATACATTAGGGTGTGTCATTTTAAAGCAACTTTTTTTCAACTAAAAACAGAGCGAAAAGGTACAAGAAGGTAAAAAACTATTATAGCCTCCTAAAATTTAAACTTTGAAAAATTCTTTAGGCAGAAACTTAAAGGCTCTTCAAACTACTTTCGGAAGATAAAAGAACATATTCAAATTTAAATTTATATGTACAAAATAACGAATTTTTTCTTTTATTTTCGTATATATTTATTGGTTTGTTCGTAGACCGTTCAATTCCTTGCCAGAATCAATTTTTATTTCATTTTCACAATGTTTCAATGTCAAGCTATTAAAATAAAAAAAATAAATATTTCAATATCATTTAAAGGGTAAATGGAAAGTTAGGAACGGTATCCTCTTAATACAAATATTAAAGCCTAAATTTTCAGACGTTTTCTTCTTAAAATGTCTAGCCTGTTTTCAGTTTAAAAAAATTTGCTTACGCACCCTAATACACATACGTGTATATATGTATATATATATGCTTATAGGTACATATAACATTATATATGCACCTAACTATTTATGTAGTCATGTCAGAAAAATATTCATTTAATTTCCTGACACAGAACAGCACAACTCCTTGGAGAGTTTACTATACTAATTTGCTTGATTGGCCAGCTTGTTGCCCCCTTTTCCGGTGGTCTTGTCATGCCAATTGTCAACGATAAATACCCGTGCTGCGTAACGCATTGTTTCTGTAAGCCGTGCAACTTTCAACGAATTGGCGAAACAAGAGTAACAACAAGAACCAGGGAGGTAGCGAAAGTTGGGGAAGCGAAAATGTGTGCGCTACCAAAGTGCGTACAAGCTCGAATCAGCATACATCCAACAACTACAAGTGCTGTGGTCTCAGTCCTAATCAGTCGTTGTTGGATGAAATTGGCAATAAACTCCTTCTCGTTAAACCGCTTTCCGCGCCACTCAACTGCGTACAAAAATACAAAAACAAAATGGACTGAAGATTGTCACTGAATTTAAATATTTGTGGCTACCTCGTGCGTCAAACGAGGGCAGCACGAGAAGGCAGTGAACTATTGCAGTAACAATTTTGTTAGTTGTAGGTGTACTTACAACGCTTTTATTGCTCCAACGCATTCAGAGCAAACGTATTTTATTAGTACTGGGTTTTTTTAGTTTTCGCTTTATAAAAGTTTAAAAAGTCCCGCAAATAACGAACTTAGTTTGTATTATTACTGCACATTTTTTTATAACTTAGAAATAGTTGAGAGTTGTTGTTAAGAATTAAACACATTGCCTGTAAGGTATTTGCTTAAACTTTTCGAGGCTATTGAAATGAACGGCACATTTTGCAAGGAACTCATAGAACTGGGAACCTAGGATTACTTCGACTCAAAGATCCATAATTTTATTCACATTTTCTTCATGAAATGCCGGTTTTTTTATTTCTGTTCAAATATGTCTCTCATATAACAAGGTTGTTTAGTTAGCTTCAGTAACCTTACATCTTTACGAGCCCATGTTTTAGTGACCAGAATCTTTGACTGTTGAATATTTTTTAATGATCTTCACTTTTTGTTAATATGTCAAACGCCGAAGTATTTTCGGGTTTGAGCTGCCTGCTGATCTTGTAAAATGTTTCATTGTTTGCTCGTCGGAAATATTAAAATTTCCAATACCTTATATAAAATAGATCAGCTGACAAAGTTGGCCCAGCATTGCATTTTAATACGAATTTTTGGGGAACCTTGATCCTAGAAGTATTTTTAAGTCTGTTCTAGTGATTCTTCGCGGATCATGTGACTTACTTAATCTGTGAATTCTTGTCTCTCTTGCTTATCGGAAATCTTCAGGTCATCGGTTTGGGATCACCTAATGCAGCTTGTGCAAAATTCAACAGATATACCTGCAAGGACAGGGTTGCATTTTTAGTTACTTTGAATCGCCATCTAATACCTCCTGCCTTATCCACTCGACCTCGTGCTCGCTTCTGTAACTGTCGCTGACACGTTGGCGCTTGTTACCTTCGATTGGTTTGGTTGGTTAAAACCCGGCTCAATGGCTAAGTGACAATGAATGGCAAGTGTTTAATATGCCACAAAAGTAGCTGCATTTGTCCGTCGCATTGAGATTGTCCGCCGCTTAGCGCAAAGCACACGCAATATTCTTGTCAACTTTATTTACAAGGACTTTATGTTTCTTTGCAGGACGATAACAACAGTACAACGGATGCGAAGCGACGATAGCAACACGATTACACACGGATAGTACAAAAGTACGGAAGATAGACCGCAAACAGTGACCACGGATGGTACATAGCAGTTGGAAGTGGGCATCGAGAGGCACAGGGAAGATACGAGAGTAGCCGCGAGAGCAGCAGAGTACGCAGTAGGCTACGCATACGGTAGCGGAAGCGTACGCAACGTAATAAACGCATTGCCAAAAACATGTTGGCAGCAGCAGCAACAACAACATTGACAGCAACAAAAACACCAACCGCTGCGATGACAACATTGACAACGAACGGCTCAACAATGCCGACCACGAGCATGCTGATGACAACAACAACCATAACAACAATGAGCGATAAAGCACGAAGAGTTACTAAACAAACGGCACACGCCGCAACAACGGTAACAACAGCGGCTGGGACAACAACAGCAACTGGCACCAGATCAGCCATAACAGCAGCAACAACAACAACTACAATTACCTCAGATCCAGGCATTTTATGCTTTCATCATTGCAATGTAAAAGTTTTCTGCTTCCACTTGCCACATCGTTGCCCCAAATGCAAACAAGTATTAGACACCGGTGTCGATGTGGACGGCAAGAATGATGAGGCCGCTGAAGCTGACGACGGCGAAAACGTTGTACGTGGTAATGAATTGGTTAGTAATGGCTGCAATGGTGAACGTACACGTGCCGGTAACGTTGTTGGTGTTGGTGTTGTTGGCTCTACGCGTTTGTTGCCTTTTCGCTTGCCCTATCCGTTTATACGTGCCTCGCAATATCCTTGCGCGATTGTTTTACGTCCGACCACAGGCGATTTTCTCAAGTGAGTATAATTATGCACCCATACACATACAATTTACATATCTGTTTTAAATACAAAAATGAATAAATACAGGTTCATTGGCTTCATTTGAGCATTTATTTGTTTTTCATTTTAAGAAACCAAAAATTCTGTCGTTTACTGTGCTTGAGACTATCCGAAGTTACACAGTCGCGATAAAAATTTTGATTATACACTGAACAGGGTATATTAAGATTGCCACGAAGTTTTAACACTCAGCAGGAAATATTAAATGAGCAGCACGATGAGCTGAGTCGATTTAGTCATGTCCGTCTGTCTGTCAGTATGTACGCAAACCAGTCGTAAAGATTTTTAGAAATCGTTTTGAAATTTTGAACACGTCCCTTTCTCCTCGAGAGACTTTGTCGAAACCGCCGATATCGGATTATTATAGCATATATCTGTCATACAAGCTGAACGATCGGAATATAGTGCTTGCATGGAAAACTTTTTTATTTGTGGAGACTGTTCTGATCGGACTTCTATAGCATATAGTTGTCATACAAATGACTTTTGTATTTGACGAGATGTCTTCTCGAAATTTAGAAAATAAATTTGACCTTGGCAAAATGTATACCTCATAATGTAAATAAAGAGGTCATTGTCCCCTTAAAATGTAAGCAAAAGGGCCACGGAACCCAAATGTAAATAAAGGTTTTTGACTTGGCTAAATGTAAACAGAGGTTGTGAGCTTGACTAAAGGTAAACGAAAGGGTTATTCACCCCATAAAATGTACACAAAAGGGTAATAGGCTCCCTAATGTTTACAAGTTTCCCCCGTTCGTTCTTTTCAAGAAATTGCTCATTATTTTGAACAGCCTATATCGAACCACTATACGTTATAGCTGCCATACAAAGTGATCGGTCAAAATCAAGTCCTTGTATGTACTTTTTTATTTGACAAGTGATATCTACACGAGATTCGGCAGAATTGTATGGCTGAAGATTTCTACTAACTGCGAGGAGGCATTTTTATGTATTCGGTGATCAGATCCCACAAATTCTTTTTAAATTCTCTTTCCATTGGTGTCTTTTATACGTTAGGTTCTAAGCTCAGTGTGAAGAACCGCAGCGCGAGGGTTCAGTTAATGACAATTATTTTATATTATATAAAGAGTCGGCATTAATGCACTCGTCATTTTTTCGGAAACACTAATGCCGAATAATGCCTCGGTTTATTCATCAAAGTTCCTGCCTGTGACGGTTACCGCATTGCCGCCAATGTCTTTTCGTGTTGCTCAGGGAACGAAACCAATACTAGAAGACTATTTATAAACTCAAACCAAAGAAAACACTGACATTTTTAGACGCTCATCATTAAGCACAAGTTATATCAAATATAAATTGAAGAGAGCTCACTAATAAGCTAAGAAGCAACAAGAATACGTCCACACTTCTCGTTATCATCTAAAAGCTCCTAAATCTGTTAAAAGCTTTCTAAATTCTAGCATGTTTAATTTGCCTCCACCTATCCACACAAAATTGAAATGAATGCATATTAGTTTGTTCTCCATAGTCTTTCGATCTCAATTTGTGTTCCACATTCATAACATTCCGAATTTGACAAATTAGTTTCCTTCGATGCTACTTAACCGCTAAACAAGCACACATACACAAACACCTGCATACATATGCGGGATGATAGATTTATGTATTGGTCTGTTTCTTTATTCCACAGCGACTACAACAACTCAACCGATTTGCATATTGCCGTGACGACCTCAACGGGTTGTGTTGTGGAATTCGATCGGTATGGCTTGCGGCGCCACCGGCCCGATAATACACGCATGTCCGATTGGTGGCAATGTCTGCTGGTTGGCGATGTCCCCGAACCATGGTATGACTATTGGGATGATATATTGCAGCAGGTAAGTTATGCACCGTTACACATTACACAAATGTGTGTGTGTGTGTGGGTGTGTGTGTGTGAGTGTATATGTATGAGAATTGCTGCAAGAAAAGCGCAATTAAGCGTAGCACCTACGGCTTCGATACGCTTCGCTGCATGCCAGCTATGAATGTTAGAGCCACCACAATATATTGCACATACACACTCACATACTTCTATACATATAATATATCTATGTGTTATCTGATATCTATTTGCTCGCCCGCAGATTTGCAATCAGCCGAATCGCTGGACCGTCTCCCATTACCAGGAGGATAGCCACAATTGTTATACATTCGTATTGGCATTCCTGCAGGCGCTCGCCTATGACAAGCTCAGCGCTGCCGCACGCTCCAAAACCAGTTTCTGTGAGAAATATATAGTTCCTAGAACCACAACGGCCGGCAAGTATATATCCTTGTATCGCAAGTTGCGTGATACGGGCATTTATGTGCATCCACATCCTCATCAACACTATCAACACCAAAGGCATTTGCTGCTTAACGGCAAACAACAGCAACACCATCACACCTATAACCAGCAGCAGCTACAAGTGAAGCCGTCACGTGGCAAGTCGAGAAACAATGGACACTTGAATGGTCATGTGGGTGCCGCATCCGTTCTGCTGGCCAACGGCGGCAAGGCAACCAGTATCATTTTGCGTGCGCCCAATCTTTGCACCATCGAAGAGTGAAGCAAACCATCGCCTCACCATTTGCATTAGTTCTTTGGTACCGGTTCCTCACCCAATCACTCAATCATTCATTTAGAGCATTCCATTAATTTGCATATGTACTTAGTAACATAGGTTCTTGGCAGCAATGTGTTAGGCAATTATGTAATTGAATATGCGGTGATGGCGTGCTTTAGGCACCACTACAACAACACTGCCGATACAACAAGTTCATGTTTAGCGGTAATACCCTGCTGGGGAAATATACTTGTTTATAACTGGTCTTTTACTAGTGCTTTTTGCACCATATACGTTCATGTTTCAAAGTCTTAACGATGTCGCTGCTGTTTGAGTGGTTCCGAACTAGTACGATGTTTTCAAAAACGCGCCAGTTTTCGGTTAGAAACTAAATTTACCACTGTAAGGCCACTAAAAAAAAAGCAAGCTCAAAAAATTTTAAAGCAAGTGATGATATCTAGCTCATAGACTCAAGTGCAGATAATTTGAATATTTTTGAGCTACCACGTGCAGTTGGGTTCTGTACCACCAACTTGTCTGACTGCTGACCAGCTGTCGTTTACTTACTGGGTAATTACCATTACACATGCAGCTGCATATTCGTTAATACTCTGTCAATGTGAGCGGCACTTCCTGCCAGCCTCCAGCTTCTAACCAATGTTCCTCAATATTGCATCCTTTGTTCGGACCTTTCTTTGCAACACATACACTTCCTTTTACTAGTTTTTATTGTTTACTTCATTGCTGCAGATTTTTAAGGTGTATTTTTGTTTTCCTACACTGTGTTTCTATTCTTCAACTTTGGTCTCTTTTGTCTTAAACTTTTAAGTTAAAATAAGAAAATAGTTCATTTTTATGCGATAAAATTGCCTTTTGTGAATTAAAAGTCAATAAAATATAATAATTTAGTTAATTAAAAATTGTTTTTGTGTTTTTAGGTGGGAGGAAAGTGGTAAGGAATTAAAGTTTGAGCTGCTAAGAGCAACTTACGTAAAAACATTGCAACAAACTATATAAGAAATTACCAAAACTATGATGGTTGCTTTTTAAATTTCTGGGTTTCAGAAGAAACATTTTTTTCGAAAAGAAAAAGTGTATATTATATATAAAATAAAGGTTAGGTCAGGCCGTAGGGTTGTTCCAAAATCGATGAATCTCACTTGGACATATCTTCGTTCTTTGTTTTGCGCATGAAAACCCTTAAACCCCTTAAGGCTCCCTCTGGCCTAGAAGGAACTCGCAGTCGTACAAGTTCTGGTTGTTGACCAACACTTGCTGAGCTCACTGGAGGTCCAAAGGTTCAACACCAGAACGCAAGAAGATATTGGAAAACCAACTCGCAGCCAATCGGATGTAATTGCGGAAGGGTGCCTCACCTAGTAAGTTCATCGGCTTTGCAGTTTTCAGCAATTTAGCTATACCCCAGCAGCCATAGAAGTATGATATGGAAGTAGCTTGAAGCAATGCTAATGAGGTCATGCACTCCTTGACTAGTTTTGAGCGCACAGTTAGCGAGCTCAAAGCCAATATAGACAATCGCCTATCGGAGTAAATGCACAGCTCTCTGAAGGGAGCAATTCATATATGCAAATATAACAACAGCTGAGATTTAAGTTGAGCTGAAAATGGGTAAAAGCCTGTACGGTACAATTCATTGAGTTATATATTTCTCGTGAACATCGCTTTCTTGTAAGGAACTTTTGATGGCTGAACCATATCAAGAAATAGGTATTGTAGTTGGCCAACTAGATCATGTGTTTTTGCTTCGTTAAACACCTTTTTGTAAAAGTCAAATCGTATATGCCGGAAAGAGTCGAGTAAAACGGAACGGATCAATCTCATTAAGGCCGAGAAGCGTGGATTAAATGACATGGTTTCTGCAGAATTTCCAATAGATGTCTTTGTCGGTCGGAGCTTTCTTGAAAGTGTAGGTCCTAACTGCATAATAACGAGATAGATAAAAACAAATATAAAATATTCCGTTATGAGAATACAATTGTACACCAAAGATATTTTTATGGTTCCGAAATTCTTGGCGAGTCACAATGCCAGGCCCTTAGTGCTGCTTATGGATAGTTGAGGATATTTCAACTACCATAAGTGAAAATTTCCAGTCAAGAAGAGGTAGTTTAAAGCCTGTTGCTTTATCAGTAGAACCAACGATGGAACATTTTTGAGGCGCTAAGCTAAACCATATGTTATGCTATTTTTGGTCTAACGCAGCGAAGGTCCAACAGTTTAAGTGAGAAAAAAAACGATTGAAAGAAGTTAAAAATTTATGAAAATTTAAACCGATTTGCCGCATCTTCCTTTAAAGCTATATTGCTGGCGATAAATAAGAACAAATTTTTAAAATGCAGTGAGTAAGTGGAGCGCAACTTGATTTGAAAGGGGCCAACGCCGAGGGTGAACGATTACCTCATAACCTAGAAAGAAATGAAAGGAATAACGAACGAAAAGGAGAGCAATAAAAATAAATCCGATTTAAATGCACAGCGCGAGCAAAAGTCAGGCGTTCGCATTGGCACAGCGCGTACACACAAGCACACGTCGTTGGAGCGGGATCCCTCGCTCGCCGGCGCGCGCACATTATCCGCACCTTTTGCAATGGCAAAGAAAACAATGCCAACAATTAATGCTGCAGCAAACGGTAAACTGGAGAACAAAAGCGCGCAAATTATAATAACAACAAAAACAACAGCGAAAGCAGTGCAAAAATGTGAAGACAACAACAATGACCTCGGCAACAATAGCAAAAACAACAACAACAACAATAGTAGCAACAACAAAAGGTAACACTAGGAATGAAGGCAGTGAAACTAGCGCCTGCAACAACAATGACTGCGACAACAACAACAAAATGTGTAAACGTGCAACATAACGGAATTGAAGGCGAGGGGGGGTGTTGGACGTGCGCTCGCCTTCATGGCGATGATGAGCCGTGCAATGTTAATAATAATTACGCCAGCGTTGACTTTTCAGCATTATTATCTTAGTCGCGTTGCCATTGGTGCCGTTAACAAATAAGCCTGCGTATGTATGTTTGTATGTGTGGCAACAATGATAACTACCACTTGAAACAATTATGTATAAGCGAAATTTTTGAATTCTCCAACGCGATTGTCGACGTAAACGGCATTAACTGCCGGGTGAAGCAGGGAGGTAGGGAGGGTGGGGCTGTGAAGTGCGTTTGCAGACAAGAAGTGCTCCGTTAGCATTGATTGCAACAACAGTAAACAATTGCATGGAGGAAGAAAAGGAGTGCAGACAGATAGACAGACAGAAGAGTGAGAGCGCCTATGGTGCAACACAAAAAGGAGCAACAAAAAATGAGTTGCTGCATCGCAATGCTGCAAGAACAAAAATGCGCAAAAATTTACCTAAGAACTGCAGCAATTTCAATTTCGCGGAACGTTAGCAAATTACGAACAACAACTGCGACAATTGCAGGCGCAGTTGCAACACTAAAGAGTTGTTATTGTGTTTGTGCAATTGCTGTTAGCGAATTTACAGTTCTACATATTGCTGTGGCAGACAAAAACAACAACAACAACGAGAAAAAAACTGACTTTGGTTCAACCACTTTTTCGTTTAATTATTTTCGCCGACATTATTATTGTTGTTGTTGTTGGTTCTAATGTGAAAAGTATGCGGCATGCTATAATTTGTGGCATGCAGCCATAGAAAGCGAAAAGAAACCTCATTAAAATTTGTGTCAAAATCGTTGCCACAAAAAAAATTGCTGATGCGATCAAAGAGACAAAGTGGAAATTTGGTGACGCGTGCGTTGCAAACAAACACGCACATACACATACCTACAAACATAAATATAAGCTTTTTTAAAGCTGTTAAGGTTTGTAGGGCAGTGTTGTGCCTTTGGTAGATTTAATCTGCACTTCGTTTATGCGCAGAGAAGTGGTTATTGCCGGCGTAATTTAAGCGAAGCGCTATTGTATCTATAGTATCCTCTAAGAAATTTAACACATTCTTGTTTAACTACCATATAAAAATACAATTGGAATAAAATAATGCGTTAAATTTTATAATTCAAGATATATGTTTATGCAATCGATTTTACTGTGCGCAAAATGAACGTAAAAAGTTATGTAACGCTAGTTACCAACTAGTTACTTTGTAATTTGCTTCCTCAATTTTATTTTAAATTCGAAAAATATTTTCTACAAACTAGTTACCACCTAGTTACTTTGTAGTTTATTTCATGATAGCGTTCCTAAAATTAATTTGTATTTTAAATTTAAATTAAAATAAAACTCGGAAAAATATTTTCTACAAACTGGCATACGACTAGTTACGTTGTAACTGATTTTTGAGTAGTCTGCCAAATTCATTTTAAAGTAATCTTCCTAAAATTTATTTGGATTTTAGATTTCAAAATATGAAATAAAAATATATATATAAATTGTACTTCCAAAAATATGTTCTACAAACTGGTCTACAACTAGTTACTTTGTACCTTATTTCGTGGTAGTTTTCTTAAAATTTATTTCAATTTTATATTTCAATTAAAACCCCCAAGAAATATTTTTTTACAAACTGGTTTGCAACTAGTCACGCTGTAATTTACTACGGATTAGTCTTCCTAAAATTTATGTGGATTTTAGATTTCAAAATATAAAGTAAAAAAATATATATAAATTGTACTTCGAAAAATATTTTCTAACAACTGTTTAGCAACTAGTTACTTTGCACCTTATTTCGAGCTAGTTTTCTTAAAATTTATTTTAATATTATATTTCCATTTAAAAAAAATTTAATTGTTTCGGAGAAGGCTTCCTATAATTTTGTGCATTTTAGACTTCAAAATATGAAATAAAAAATATATATATTATATCAACTGTATACTTCGAAAAATATTTTCTAACAATCGGCTTGCAACTGATTACATTGTGTTTAAATTCGGAGTAGTTTTCCTAAAATTTATTTTGATTTTATATTTCAATTTAAAACTCCATACATATTTTTTTACCAACTGGTTTGCAACAAGTCACATTGTAATTTATTTCGGAGTACATAACATAAGCTGGCAAATCAACATTTTTCGTTAGTTTATGTCAAAACTAGACTACAAAATTTGTTATCCAACTTTCTCTCGTATGCATGTTTTCAGCATTTTAGCTTAAAAGTCCTACAGGGTCATTTAATTTGCACCTGCCGACAAACAACGTTGGCAGATTTAAAATGTAATCATGGAAAATGATGAACTTTGCAAAAAAAAGAAAAAATATATATATGTATATATATAATACTACAATTGCATCCGACGCAAAGAAAGCAAATGTACAACAATATAAGCTGCGGAATGGCAGCGACGGCAGAGATTGTAATACCGATGCGTATGAGAAATTTAAATTTAATTCAAGGTCCTTTGCCATTAAAGCGGCCAAAGAAAGCCTAGCACATACACATACATATGTTAAGCATGTGCTGCCACATGCGCCCAACTACATTTGTTCGCAGGCACAAACACACCGCCACACACGTATAAGAGTGCAGTTTATATTACAATTGTTCTCGGTTTAGCATTTTCTTTTTGCTTTCCGTTGATCGGTGAGGGTGTGAGTGTTTGTTTGAGTGTATAGGTGTGCGTTTACGCTGCTTATGGGCAAGTTGGGCTTCGGCTTTTGTAGGCCGACTCGCTTTGCTGCGTTCCTTTGAAATTTAATTACAAACGTTGCCTTTTCCAACATTCATGCGGTATTCATATCGCCTACATCGATATAAGCATTCGCAAGCATGTGCCAGTGTGAGTGTGCCTGTGTGTATTAAGTGAAATACTGTAAAAGTGCAATGGCAGAAATAATACAATACATACACATGAGCGCATATCCAATGTGAAATGCTTTCGTTTAACTGAAAATTTAGCGCTTTTCATATGCGCGCTTATACAATTGAGGCTTAA